TTTTTTTTTTCCTTCCTTCGCTTGCCCCTGTCGGGATCCGATCCGCCCAGTCCCCCCTTTGCCTTGCCTTGCCTTAGGGCTGTGTGCCGCGAGAACGAGCAGCAACGCGCGCGAGAGAGAAACAGAGATTGTTACTATCTATGTACTATGTCTACCGCACATATGTAGCTAGCTGGTAGGCCAACAGCATGTGTACGTTAGGTACTTTCCGCCGGCACGGCAGCACCACCACGGCACCACCGCAGCACGCACGCGCGCAATCAAGCTAGCAGCATCGGCTTCTTCCTGTCCGCTGTGTCATGTCAATATGTCCCAGTAGTTGTACTGTACCGCCCTGCCATCTGCCATCTGCCATGCCATGTACTGCCATGTCCCAGCAACAGCGGCAACAGCAGCAGCAGCAAGTACCTAGTCTAGTCACCGCGCAAGCAAGCAGCACAAGCTCCCCTCCCTCCCCACGCACACCTATGTAAGACGTACCATAGCATCCATAGGTATGTAACCCCACTAGCACCACCGCCCCAGCAATCCTGTACCGCCAGCCCCGAGCCAGCCAGCCAGCCATTCTCCGCTCCTGCTCAGCTTGCCTCGCGCTCTCGTCTCACCCGCGTGTGCCTACCCGCTCCTCCGCCTCCAATGCCCTTCCCGCACGCCCTGTTTGCAGCAGCGACAGCGTGTGAAGCTCGAGCTCCCACGCTCCGTCCGTTAATTGCAATGGAAGTTACCTCGCTCCGCGCCCTCCATCCACGGTCCACCTACCTACCTAGCCGCGCCGCACCGCAGCGGGTCCCGACAGATGCCAGAGCCAGACGACAGAGCCGCCTGATATAGATGTAGACGACACGGCACGACACGGCACGGCACGGCACATCGCGGCACGGCTCGACACTCCGGCCGTTGAGGTGGCGCGCCTTAATGTCCGCACAAAAGAAACTGACGGGAGCGGAAAAAACAACAATGACGACGACGACGGTGAGGACGATGACAGATAGACGACGACGACGCAAAACATACGATGCGGGACGGGACGGCTCGGCGCGCCCGCGCGTACGTAGCGTGCTGGTGCCTCTGCCTTCATTCTTCTTTTCTTCTTCCTTCCTTCCCTCAACCCTACCTAGGCGTAACTAGGTAGCTAGGTCGTAGGCAAAGCAGCCCCGCCCCGACGTCGATCCGGGGGTGGGGAAAAGCGAGCGCCTCGACCGCCATGAGTCCCTTCCTCCCTCTTGCCTTCAACCTCCATCCACGCCGCCACGCCGGTCCCGCCACGCCACGCCACGCCCCCGTGTGTGTTTGTGTGTATATGTGTGCAGCGGAGCACAATGGCCGTTTTTTCGCGCCGCTGAGCACGCGCACGCGCACGCTCAGCCCAGCCCATCCCGTCCCGTTAAACCCGTCCCGTCCCAGCTCATGTCCACGCCCAGGCAAACACCAGGCATCCGCCACGAGCAACCAGCCCATCCACTGCAGTACCACAGTAGCACATTCTCCCCCCCTTACTTCCTCTCTCGTTCTCACTACCCTTCCCTCCCTACGCAAGAATAGTGCCGTATCCACATGCCCACAAGCCCACTAGCCCACCCACCCTTCACCCTTCACCCGCCCACTGGCTGGCTCACTTGCTCGCTAGCTCGCCCACCAAACCTGTCAACCGCCTCGCGTGCTCAATCTGATACCAGGCACGTTGCACCGCAGCTGCTAGCGAGGCGCTTACGGCGAGGGCGAGGGCTGTGCACGCGCGTGAGCGCGGGTGCGGGTGCGGGTGCAAGTATGTAAGTAAGGGCGGATGGATGGGTTGGGCGGGTTGGTTGTTTGCGTGTGTGTGGTTGCTTGGTTGTGCGTCTCATGCTCGTGCTCATGCTCGTGCTCATGCTCGCGCTCATGCTCATGCCTCACGCTCATGCGCTATATGTACCGTACCGTACCGTACCATACGTCCGCGGTAGCAGGCAGGCAGGCAGGCAGGCAGGCAGGCAGCAGCAACAGTGCTATGGGCTATGGGAGCGACTACCTACCTACCTACGGCACGGCGCCTTCTAGCGCTCGCTGCTGCTGGGAATTCTGTGCTGTCCTGTGATGTGCTGTGCTGCCAAAAGCCGCTGCGTTTATTGTTTAGGTATTGTTGTTTGTGTCTACCACTGAAGCAAAAAAAGAAAGCAAAAAAGGGAAGAAGAGGCCAGAAGCCGCCGCCTGGGTGTGTCTAGGTACCTAGGGTTCTTTCTCTCGACTCCCTTCTGGGCTGCCCCTCTGGCTGCGCAAACGAGTCCGACGGCCAGAACCTGCGCTGCCGCGCGGCGAGCCAATGCCGTGCACAGCAGCAGCAGCTAGCTATGTACGAAGTACTAGCAGCGCGGCGCCGGCCGCAGCGCTGAAAGCCACGCCTTCGGCCGCGTCCGCGCCTGCACCGCCCCCACCCCGCCAGTCTACTCTACTCTAGTACTCCTCCCACTACCGCCGCTGCCACAGCCAGCAGCAGCACTACAACTTCTACTACAGCGGCGCCAACCCTCCACGCCCACTAGCTAGCAGGGCAACCCCCGATCATGCAAACCCGCGCGCCGCGATCGCCTGCGCCATGACCGAGGCGAACCGGCCAGCCATGTCCTGCGGGTCCTGCTTGGCCGTCTCAATGCCTGTCAGGATCTTCTTGATGCCGACACCAATGTCGGCGCTGCCCGTCGTCGCCGCAATCTCGTCCAGCGCCGTGTGCACCTGCTCCGGCCCCGCAAACGCCCCCGACTCTTGCAGAATGTGCGCCAGCTCGTCCTGCTTGTTGACGTTGGGCACGGCGATCTCGGCGTCGAACCGGTGGAAGAGGTCCAGTTGCTGCAGCACCGACCGCTCGGTCGTCGTGGCCAGGATGAGCAGCCGCCGGTTCTAAATGGGGTGAAGCGGTTGTGTTAGTCTCTGTTTTCGTTCGTTTTCGTGCTAGGAGCTACATATACGAGGGATTCACTGCTTACCTTTGGTGGCTGCTTCGAGAGCAGCACTTTCAGCGCAACGAGAACCGTGTTGCTGAACCGCGGGCCAATCGGCACCCAGTCCACCAGCAGCTCGATGTTGTCAATGACAAGCACGTTCAGGGGACTCTTGTAAGCGTCCCGGAAGATCTTATCCAGCTGCTGCACCTTCTGCATCTCGCTGAAACCGACCATGTTCTCGGGGCTGATGAGCTTAATAAATGGGAACTCGGACTTGAGCGCCAGCTCCGCAGCGAGCGCCGTCTTTCCACTTCCCGGCGGGCCGTGCAGCGCAACCGACAACAAGGGTGACCCGCCGTTGCGCACCTGGTTGATGAACAGCTGGCCCTCGTTGAGGATCGACCGGACAATCTTCGAGTAGTGGATGATGCCGCCCATGATGCACTTCTGAAGCTCTTCCTCCGCAACACCAAAGGCCGGTTGCACCTCGTCCAGGGCGTGGAGGAAATCCTCGCGGTTGACCTTCATATTGACCACGTCGTCGGAAATGGAAGCCATCGTGCCGACCTTGATGTGCCTGCTAAAAGCAAACGACGACGCCGCCTTGACGAGACCGTTGATCTCCGCACCAGAAAAGTTCTTGGTCAATCTTGCGAGCTCGGCCAGGTCTACATCGTCGGCCATGACGTTGTTGTCCCGCATCTTCGTCGTGTGAATCTTTAAAATCTGCGTACGACCATACTCGTCCGGCAGAGAGATCTCCATGTGAACTTCCAGACGGCCGGGACGGAGAAGCGCATCATCAATCATGTCCATACGGTTGGTCATACCGATGAGCAGGATGTTGTTCAGCTGATCCACACCGTCCAGTTTCGACAGCAGCTGGTTGACAACACTGTCACCGACACCAGTTCCGCCGCCGGCGCCACTTCCTCTCTGCTTGCATACAGCATCCAATTCATCGAAGATGATAATGTGGAGGTCACTCTCGTCGCCCTTCTCTTTGTATTCTTTCTCGGCATCCGCAAAGAGCTTACGAATGTTCTCTTCAGATTGACCGACAAACTTGTTCAACACTTCAGGACCGTTGATAACCTTCGGCTCCCTGGCGTTCAACATCTTACCGATTTGTCTCGCAATAAGCGTCTTACCGGTACCCGGAGGGCCATACAAAAGCATACCCCTAACATGCTGGATACCAAGCTTCTCCACAAGACCAGGAGGGAAGATACGGGAAGCAAAAGCTCTCCGGAAGATGGCGCTGAATTCAGTGTCCAAACCACCGATACCCATATCCTCAAATTTGAAGCCGGGCTGCACGATGGAGTTCGCTGCCGGTCTCCGGGTCGAAGCCTTAAGCTTGATCTCAGTCCGGGCGTCTTTGTAGAAGTCGACCGATGCTTGACGAGTGAGGATACCACGAGCGCGAGGGTCGGCCACCGTTGGCGCGTTCGGATCAGACTTTTCCATCGACATATCCGCAAGTTTAACAGCCTTGATCGTCAATCGGAGAGGAATGTTCTTGTGGTCCATAAGAAGTTGCTGCCCCGGGGCAAGGACCTGGTTCTCAAAGTTCTACCAGCAATTGATTAGCATCGCCCATGAAAGACAGAATTTCGCACATACCCTGATAAAAAGCTGCGCGAGCTCATCTTGATCATATGGAGCCTCCGTGATCTTCCTGCCGGCAAAGCCGACCTCCGCATCAATCGATGCCAAGTATGCCCCTCCACCCTGACCAAAGTGGTCATACTGTGAAGTCACCACAACGTCGTGCGGACCAAGACTGACTCCGGCCCAAGTACGCTGCGCGTCAGTGAGACCAATCTCACCAGGCCTGCAGGCCTCGGTTGGCCTTGCGGAGAGGACGAATTCGTTGTTGATCATTAGGTAAATATCCAGACCATCGCGGGAGGGAGGGAAGTCGGCGGGAGAAACGGCAACACTTAGATCTGTCAGTAATTGTAATATAACGGTCTTCAAATGCACCTACACGTTACCAAAAGCGTATGCGTTGCCTCCAGGGCTCTTCACGGGCCTCAACTGCATCTGGCGTCCTCCACCGCCGCCCGGCGCCGCGCCAGGAGGTGGTCGTCTCGCAGGCATTGTCTGCGAGTAGCCGTGTGGAGGAGCACCGTATTCCGGCTGGCCTGGCGGGGCACCGTAGCCGGGACGGCCGTATCCTTCTCTTTGTGGTGCGCGCGGCGAGCCGTCGGGCCTGCCACCCAGGGAGGCAGGGAGGTTGCTACGGTTGAACATGGTAGCTAGTCGCCGGAAATCGAGTTCGGTCCTAAGGCAGTTTTTATAGATGGATCTGTTGCCACGTTTCCTGGAGCTGAGGCAGCAGGGTAAGAGCGGTTCGGATTGGTGCGCAGGCTGCTGCTATGTAGGAAGAGGGCTGCGGCTGCCTGGCTGGTTGTCGGGTCGCGAAGCTGCCGAGTGACACTCGCTGTTTTCTAGGCTTCTTGTCAGGAGAACTGAGGGTGAGAGGGGAGGTGTTGTTGGGACTCTATGCCAATACGGGGTGCCCGATGCCGACTTCTGGCGTCACAGGTCCGGCAAGGTCCGAGCTCGGGCCCCGCCTCATTGGCTCCAACGTTGCGGCTCTCGGACTCCTTCAGGGTCCTTTTGGAGCTAAATTCCTTTTGTTATTCCTCAATCTGTCGTTCCGATTTCCAGTCGGCGTGTCCTCGCTATACAAACTTGAAGTTCGTCTCTATGTTTGAAGTTCGAGAGGCTTGGTGGGGCAATAATGGAATACCTAGCACACTGGAATTCATGAAACCTTTGTGCCTCGGAGACTTCCATGGGACGATGCATTGAGGTCACAGTGAAATGACAATTCATCCAAGCCCTTATGGCCCCGAACCGTATGAAGATGTCTATATTCAGTCATAGGGGTCGAGTGACTTTTAATACTTCCGGTCTCCCGCATACAAAGCTATATAGCTTGATTGGTCAACTCCACATGCTCGCGACCTAGATATCTCAGTCAGATCGACTCCTGTCAACTGCCTTGCCGTCTCACCCAGTTTCGACCCTGGCAAGTGAGCAAGCAGACCAAAGTTACATGGAACGGCAGGTCGGAGGACGGAAAACGGTCCGTTAGGCAGGCGGACAGGGCCCCCGGCTAAACCCCGGGAGTGCCTGTCGCGACTTCCCAAATTTTTGGCAGCGGCTGCCGTGACCAGCGACTCTCACGCTTCCCGCGCGCCGCTCTGCCCTGGGCCCTCGACCGCAATTATGTCCCAAGGCATGAACATCGCCGAGCCCGTCTCGTCGACCATTTCCGGCGTCGAGTTCGGTTTCCTCACCCCAGAGGAAATTAGAGCTCTTTCCGTCAAGAGAATCAACAACCCGACCACCTTCGATACCCTCCTGCACCCTACGCCTGGTGGTCTCTACGACTCTGCGCTCGGCGCCTTCCTCGACAATGCGTAGGTTTGCGCCGGATCCTCGTACATTGAGCCTGCTAACACGCGCGCAGCTGCTCGACATGCAACCTCAACGCCTTCAACTGCCCTGGTCACTGCGGCCACATCGAACTGCCCGTTCCCGTATACCACCCTACTTTTATGGACCAATTGCTTCGCCTTATCCGCGCGCAGTGCATGTACTGCCACCACCTTAAGATGTCCAAGGTGCAGGTCAACCGATTCGTCTGCAAGCTTCGCCTGGTCAGGTACGGTTTGCTGAAGGAGGCACAAGACTTGGAAGACATTGAAGTTCCCAAGAGCTCGAAGACTGCCTCCAAGGAGGAGGGCGAGGATGTGGACTCGGATGCTGGTAGTGACGCGGAGAAGGACGACGTGATTGCCAAGCGCGAGGCATTCGTGAAACGCGCCATCAAGGCTGCCGGCGGCCGCAAGAAGTCGGAATGGTCCACGGAGAAAACCGAGGCGGTTGCCGAGGAGCGGAGATACATAATCAAGGAGTTTTTGACAGACATCAACAAGGGTAAGAAGTGCCAGAAGTGTGGCGGTATCAGCCCAACTTTCCGGAAGGATCGCTATGTCAAGATTTTCAAGAAGGGTTTGAATGCCAAGGACAAGGCCATCATGATCCAGCAGGGCAAGAAGGTGGAGAACCCTATTGTGGAGGAGATGTCCAGGCGAAGGGCAGCTGAGCGTGCGAGCCAGAAAGGCAAGTCGGACCGCATGGAGATCGACGAGGGTGTTGCGGATCTGGAGGCCGCGATAGGAGGTGAGCGCTCCGATGACGAGTCGCTTGACCCGGATGAGGAGATTGCGGACGGTACTGCGGTGGCAGCCGAGGCGGCCATGGCCCAGACCAAGAAGGCCAAGAAAGATTCTGATGGCCAGACGTACATGAGCGCTGCCGAGGTGCTTACGAGTTTGGAGTGGCTGTTCGAGAAGGAACAGGAGATCTTCAGCCACGTCTACGGTCCACGGACGCGCTCCAAGCAGGGTGGAAAAGTCAGCGCCAGCATGTTCTTCATCAAGACGTTGATCGTTCCTCCCAACAAGTACCGACCCGAAGCGAAGACCGGGGCGGATGAGATTGCTGAGGCCCAGCGCAACACTCTGTACAAGAACATCTTGAGTGCCTGCGATGTCGTGAACCAGATTGTCCAGGAGATCAAGGGTGTCGCAACGAATGACCGGAGACTGAGGACCTACGATGACCTCCAGACCGCATGGGTGGCTTTGCAAGATGGCGTCAACTCGCTCATCGACCGTGATAGAAATCCTGTTCAGGGCGCCGCAGGGAAGAAGAACGAGGACGGTATCAAGCAGAAGCTCGAGAAGAAGGAGGGTCTGTTCCGTAAAAACATGATGGGTAAGCGTGTCAACTTTGCTGCTCGTTCAGTTATTTCTCCGGATCCCAATATCGAGACGAACGAGATTGGTGTCCCGCCTGTCTTCGCCATGAAGCTCACCTACCCTGAACCGGTCACCAACCACAACTTCTACGAGTTGAAAGAGGCTGTTCTGAACGGCCCGAACAAGTGGCCCGGTGCGGCGGCGATTGAAAACGAGAATGGCCAGGTCATAAACCTCAACCTGAAGAACTACGAGGAACGGCAGGCGCTGGCAAACCAGTTGCTTGCTCCTTCGAACACTAGCGTCAACGGCGCGAGGAACAAGAAGGTCCATCGCCATCTCAACAACGGTGACGTTGTCATCATGAACAGACAGCCGACACTGCACAAGCCGTCTATGATGGCTCACCGCGCCAGAGTTCTGCCGGGCGAGAAGACCATTCGTATGCACTACGCCAACTGTAACACCTACAACGCCGACTTCGATGGTGACGAGATGAACATGCACTTCCCGCAGAACGAGGTTGCCCGTGCAGAGGCGGCGACCATCGCCGATACCGACCACCAGTACCTTTCCGCCACTGCGGGTGCACCTCTTCGTGGTCTTATTCAAGATCACATCTCCATGGGTGTCTCCCTCACGAACAAGGATACATTCTTCACCCGTGAAGACTACCACCAGCTGTTGTATGCTTGCTTGAGGCCGGAAGACAACCACACGACCTCGGGCAGGCTTCTTACCGTTCCTCCCGCGTTTTTGAAACCAAGGCCACTATGGACGGGAAAGCAGCTCATCACGTCAGTGCTGAAGAACATCAAGCCGGAAGGACATGGCGGTCTAACCTTGTCCTCAAAGTCACAGACTGCGGCAGACAGGTGGGGCAAGGGCTCCGAGGAACAAAACGTCATCTTCCAGAACGGCGAGCTTCTTTGCGGTATTATGGACAAGAAGCAAATCGGACCTGCCAGCGGTGGTTTTGTCAATGCTGTTTACGAGGCCTACGGTCACACCGTTGCTGGACGTTTGCTGAGTGCGTTGGGTCGACTCCTCACCAAGTTGCTGCACATGCGGGCCTTCTCTTGTGGTGTGGAAGATCTGGTCCTTACTCCGGAGGGTGAGGAGCTTAGGAAGGAGAAGCTAAAGGGTGCCGAGACTGTTGGTCTCGAGGTCGCCTCTAAGTACGTTTCTCTGAACAACCAGAAGATCGACTCCAGCAATCCTGAGCTGCTCAAGCGTCTGGAGGCTGTCCTTCGTGATGACGCAAAGCAGCACGGTCTGGATCAACTCCAAAACCAGCGGACTGCCCAACTCTCTTCCGGCGTTACTACTGCCTGTCTTCCGGACGGTCTCATCAAGCCATTCCCCAAGAACCAGATGCAGGCCATGACTGGTTCCGGTGCCAAGGGTTCGCAGGTCAACGCCAACCTCATTTCCTGCAACTTGGGTCAGCAAGTCCTGGAAGGTCGGCGTGTGCCGACCATGGTTAGCGGAAAGACGCTGCCTTGCTTCAAGCCTTTCGAGTCCAGTGTTAGGGCAGGTGGTTACATTGTCGACCGTTTCTTGACTGGTATCCGTCCTCAGGAGTACTACTTCCACGCCATGGCTGGTCGTGAAGGTCTGATTGATACCGCTGTCAAGACTTCGCGTTCCGGTTACCTGCAACGTTGTCTGATCAAGGGCATGGAGGGTCTCCGGGTCGAGTATGACACCTCCGTCCGTGACTCTGATGGCAGTATCGTTCAGTTCCTGTACGGTGAAGATGGCTTGGACCCGACCAAAGAGAAGTATCTCAACGACTTCAAGTTCACGGCCGAAAACTTCACCTCTATCTTCAACTCGCTTGGCATCAAGGGCCAGTTTACCAAGCTCATGAGCGATGAGGCGACTGAGTGGAACAAATCTGCTGTCAAGAAGTACAAGAAGACCGGCGATCTGGGCTGCATGGATCCTGCTATCTCGAAGTTCACTCCTGGCAGATTTGCTGGCAGCACTTCAGAGAACTTCTACGCCGCTAGGAAGAAGGTAAGTCATGCTAATATTTACGAATCAAGTATTATGCTGACATAGTTTAACAGTACACCGATGATAACCCGGACAAGCTTATCAAGGATAAGAAGCAAGGTATCGACGGTCTTGCGCGCAAGACGTTCGACGCCGCTCTTGACGCCAAGTACCTCAAGTCCATCGTCGAGCCTGGTGAGGCCGTCGGTGTCGTTGCCGGCCAGTCTGTCGGTGAACCTTCCACCCAGATGACGCTGAACACTTTCCATTTGGCTGGTCACTCGGCGAAGAACGTCACGCTTGGTATCCCTCGTCTGCGTGAAATTGTCATGACCGCCAGCGCGCACATCTCGACGCCCTCTATGCTTCTCTTCCTCAACCCTGAGATCTCGAAGGCGGACGGTGAACGCTTTGCCAAGGGTATCAGCAGGCTCTCCCTTGCTGAGATTGTTGACAAGGCGACCGTCACTGAGACACTGGGACGGGGCGTTGCCTATGCTAACGCCAAGACTTACAAGGTCCGTCTTGATTTCTTCCCCGCCGAGGAGTACTGCCAGGAGTACGCCATCACGGTCAACGATGTCCTCCGCTCCATCGAGATCAAGCTCCTTCGCTTGTTGCAGAAGAGCATCCGGGCAGAGCTCAAGAAGAAGGGCGACGAGAAGTCTCTCAAGGCTGCTGCCAAGTCCGATGCCATCCCTGACATTGGAACCGCCGTCCGCACAGTCGAACCGCAGCCGTCGCGGGCTGAGGGCGAGAAGGAGGGTGGCAATGATGATGATGACGATGATGACGACGATGATGATGGCGATGCTACCAACACCAAGCAGAAGGCCAACCGCTCCGAAAACGCCTCCTACGAGAAGCCAGACGATGAGGAGGAGGCCATTGCCGCGCAGGGCCGCGCCCGCGATACCACTCCGGACCCTATGTTGGAGGACGAGGCTTACGGCGGCAGCCCCAGCACGTCTGAAGACGATGATTCTGATGCGGAAGAGGCGGCGGTCAGGAAGAACAAGTCGGCAGCCGAGCGCGAGCAGCGCATCAAGGAGAAGCTGCAGGACGTTGTGTCGTTCAAGTTCGACGACAAGGCGGGCAGCTGGTGCGAGTTTGCGTTCGAGTACGACGCCAACACCGCCAAGCTGCTGATGCTGCACCTGGTGGAGACTGCGTGTCGCGAAGCCGTCATCCAGGCCATCCCCGGTCTGTCGGGCTGTCTGGCGACGACGGAGAAGGTGGGCAAGGAAGAGGTGCCCGTGGTCATGACCGAGGGTATCAACCTGCTGGCGATGCGCGACTACCAGGACGTCATCAACCCGAACAGGATCTTCACCAACGATATTGCGGCGATGCTGCGCCTGTACGGCGTGGAGGCGTGCCGAGCCAACATTGTACGCGAGATGGCGGCCGTCTTCGGCGGTCACGGCATCAGCGTCGACAACCGGCACTTGAACCTGATTGCGGACACGATGACGCGCGGGGGCGGCTACACGGCGTTCAACCGGATGGGGCTCAAGAGCAATGTCAGCCCGTTTATGAAGATGAGCTTCGAGACGACGGTGGGCTTCCTCAAGGACGCGGTGCTCGAGGAGGATTCGGACTCGTTGGAGAACCCGTCGGCGCGGATTGTGGTGGGCAAGATGAGCAAGGTGGGTACGGGGGCGTTTGATGTGCTGATGCCGGTTGCGTGAGGGGGTGAGTGAGTAAGTGAGTGAGTGGGGTGGTGGAGAGAGAGGGGGCCGAAAGTGGAAAAAGTGATTTGGGTAATTGAGAAATGTGTGTTGTAGAATGCGGCGCTATCGGTGTTGGGGGCTGGGTGGAGTGTAGGTTGACGCGGGTACCTAAGAAGACGACGAAATGGTTTATTGATAGTAGTTTGTTTGTTTTCAGTTCAATGGGAGCGCGGTTGCATTTGCTTGCACTGGTTGATTGAGTTGAGTTGAGTTGAGTTGAATTCATTTACCCTGACCCATCGCCCTAAGCGATATGCAGGCTAAACTGGTTGATTGATTGATTGGTTGGTTGGTTGATTCCAGGCTGCTGTCTTTGTATCACCATCACCAATGGTGTCCGTCACTGATTACTGTATCTTGCGAAAGTAAGCCCAACAAAAAATGGACAACTGCCTACAACTCCAACGCAGAAAGAGAAGAATATATTTCTAGTATAAGGCTCCTTATCATATTAATGCCCCACGACATTCAGCCTTGTGTCTTTTAAAGCACATAATAAACGCAGTGTTTCTATTTATTTAGACATTCTCTATTGACGTTCTAGACAAGTACCGATCATAAAAATAAGAATCTATATCAAATCTCAACTTACCAGATTCTTTCCCGATTGCGATTTGCTCCAATCACGATAGTCCGCGGCAATAGATACACGGACCACTGAGTATTTAGATTTGTGGATTAAGAGCGGGGAATTATACTGGATCCGCTCACCCCGTGCTCAATACAAGTGCATTCATTATCGCGCTTTAAATGGAAGTAGATTACTAAACGACTGGCACCTGCACTGCCATTAACGTCACGGCCTAAAACACCGCAGTATCAGATATCAGGAGGCTGAGGCATTTATGGAGTGGATGGAGGGTATGCGTGTGGGAGTAGATAGCCGCCAGGCGGTAAAGGCTTTGAGAGATCGGAAACATGTTGATACTGGAAAGGAAAGAGAATGTCTGAAGCGGGCAGCAATGAAATGCAACGAGTCAAACGAAAGATGGGCAGTATCAGGACGAATTTTGAGAAGGTGTTGAGTGAATTTTTCTTTTGTACATGTACATGCAAAAAGTAGGAGAGATAAGCAGTCCAATCAGCACTGCGGCCATTAATGCGTGGCAGACAAGGAAAGCATCTGGATTTTTGCTTTTTCCAATGTTATTCCCGTCCCGCCGCGTGCGTGGCAGCCACATGGACCCAAAGGGCCGGCTGGTTCACGCCGGACACCAAGCCGAGAAGTACGAAGGAGCAACAACCGCGAACCATTGACGTTCGAGAAGGCTCAGAGGCAGACGCGAAGGGGAGTTCCAGGCTGCCACTGACCTCAAGCGCAAGCCCGATCGGCCAAAAGGCGCTAGGAAATTGGCGGGCGGGGCGGAAACTGGGGTAAAGAGAGGATGCGGGGTTGTGGCCGGCGAGCTGCCAACCACAGAGCCGCAAGCCCTTTAAGCCCGGCTCGGCCGCGGCTGAACGCTGCCCATTGTTTGCCGACGTCAGCTTTAGTTAAACATGCACGACTGCTCCCGCATGCGCTAGACATCACACATCCCCGGCGCCGCGACGAGCTCGCCTTCCCATCATCCATCATGGCGCCGCCGCACCCGCAGGATGAAGTCTACGCCGAGTCCATGAGCGATCCGTCGGCCTTCTGGGCGCGCCAGGCCGCCGCGATTCACTGGCACAAGCCGCCCACATCCACTTTTGTGCGCTCGACGAAGCGGCTGGACAACGGCGTCGTCCACCCGCACTGGACCTGGTTCCCCGGCGGCGAGATCTCGACGACCTACAACTGCATTGATCGGCATGTGCTCGCTGGCCGCGGAGATGCCGTCGCCATCTTCTACGACTCGCCCGTCACGGGCGCCAAGGAACGCATCACATATGCACAACTGCTGCAGGAGGTGGAAGTGCTAGCGGGCGTCCTACGGGAAGAGGGCGTGAAGAAGGGCGACGTAGTGCTCATTTACAGTGAGTCAGTCCCTTCTGTGCCCTGTTTGCGCGTCAACAAGTTTCTGCCTAAATGCACCCAATTTGTCACGACCGTTTGTTGATGGCTGATGTTAGTGCCGATGATTCCGGCGGCCCTGTTCGCCATGTTGGCCGCGGCCAGACTAGGCGCAATCCACGCCGTTGTGTTCGGAGGCTTCTCTTCGCCGTCCCTCGCCCAACGCATCGAAGCATCCGAGCCGAAAGCGGTCTTGACGGCTTCGTGTGGCGTCGAGGGCACAAAGGGTCCGCTAGACTACCGGCCCCTCGTCGAGGGTGCGGTGCAAAAGAGTAGCTTCAAGCCTCCGAAGATCATTGTATGGCAGCGCGAGCAGCTGAGATGGGATCCCATCATTAAGGAAAAGGGGGAACGTAATTGGCAGAGGCTTGTAAAGAGCGCTAGGAATAGGGGCATCAAAGCAGAAGCGGTACCAGTCAAGTCAAATGACGGGCTTTACATAATCTACACAAGCGGTGAGTCTTCCGAGCAATCCCCCAAGCTCTCCGAGACGACACCAGAACAAAAGTCGAGAAAGTTCCAAATTCCCAGTCCACGCACTCGGTGCTGTTAGCTTGGCTACCGAGTGTGTGGAAAATATGGAGAGCTAATGAACTCTTGAACTATTATAGGAACGACGGGTCTTCCTAAAGGCGTGCTTCGGGAAGCGGGTGGCCATGCCGTTGGTCTCAACTTCTCGATAAATTATATGTTTGGTCTGCACGGCCCAGGCGATGTGATGTTCAGTGGATCGGATATTGGCTGGGTCGTCGGTCACTCATATATTGTCTATGCTCCCCTGCTGGCGGGAGCATCAACAGTGCTTTTTGAAGGCAAGCCCGTCGGAACGCCCAATGCGGGCACGTTCTGGCGGATCGTCGAAGAGTACCAGGTCACGACCATGTTCATGGCCCCCACGGCGTTGCGTGCCATCCGGAGAGAGGACGGAGACCACGGCCACTTTGAGAAGGTCGGGCAACGAGGCGGTCTCAAGAGCTTGACGGGGCTGTTTTTGGCAGGAGAACGAAGCGAGCCGAGCATTGTGATGATGTACCAGCGGCTGCTGTCGAGGCACTGCGCACCCAACGCCGTCGTCATCGATAACTGGTGGAGCTCAGAGACGGGCTCGCCAATTTCGGGGCTGGCGTTGAATGCAGCAGCTGGCAAGCAGGCAAGCGCAGGCGAGCAGAGGCAGACGAAGCCACTGCCGATCAAGGCCGGGGCGGCGGGAAAGGCGCAGCCCGGGTTCGATGTGAAGATAGTCGACGATGACGGAATGGCCGTCGAGCACGGCATCATGGGGAACATAGTGCTGGGCATTCCTCTGGCACCTACCGGGCTAACGACGCTATGGAAGGACGAGCAGCGCTTCTACAAAGGGTATATGCTTAGGTTTAACGGGCGGTGGATCGACACGGGTGACGCGGGCATGATTGACGACGAAGGATACGTGCATGTGATGTCGCGGGCCGACGACATCATCAACGTCGCAGCACACCGTTTCAGCACCGGTACGTGGGATTTGCGAGACAGAGTTTCATCTGGCGGCTGACGCTGGCTGGCACAGGCGCGATCGAGCAGGCGATCACATCACACGGCGAGGTCGCCGAGGCGTGCGTGGTTGGGCTGCCGGACGCGGTCAAGGGCCATGTGCCGTTCGCGTTTGTGACGCTGTCGACGCACCCGCACCCGGGCGCGGCCAGGCCTGCAGCGCGGCTGTTCAGGGAGGTGCAGGGCTCGGTTCGGGCAGCGATCGGGCCAGTTGCCAGTCTCGGCGGGATGATCCAAGGCAAGGGCATGATCCCCAAGACGCGGAGCGGCAAGACGCTGCGGCGCGTGCTGCGCGAGTTGGTGGAGGAGGAGGTGGTGAGGAAGAGCGGCGGCGGGGTGGAACGGGCTATGGAAGCGGACGAGGCTGACGCGGTCGCGACGGCGAGGGCCAAGATCAGGGAGTACTTTTCAGCGCAGGATGTGCAGCACGCGAAGCTGTAAGAGAGAATACGTACTTAACGACGAGCAATTTCCGGGGCGGCAGCCTTTAATAGCATGAGTGCATGCACCCCGCTGGCTCTCGAACCGGCTCGACGGGCGTCGGGCCGCGGGGGTGCGGGCGTCGCAGGCGTCCCGGCTTTTGATTAAGGTGCTTCCCACGCCGCGCCTCTGGGGAATCTTCATTTCGCCGGTCGAGGCGTTCAATGAATGTCAAACGGCGCACGGAGGCTGGCCAGAGCTGATCTCCCGTGCCTGCTCGGCTCTTGCGCGAGTCCCGACCTCCCTCATCCTCCTTTCGAAAATTCTCCTCGCCCGCCCTGGCCAGTGCGACGAGCAATGCAATTACTCCACCCGCTCCAACAAGACCCTGCCTGAGCACCCTTCACGTGTCGCCGCGATCCTCTCCTAAATCTAAGAGAGAAAGACTCAACGTCGCACCTCTCCACGCCACCCCGACTCACCTTCGTTTCACCCTAGCCACGACTCCCTTCTCTCTCTCTCTCTACCTTACTCTCTCTCACTCTCACACACACACACTCTCTCTCTTTACCCACCTCACCACCCCCAACCAACCAACCACATCTCTTCCCGACGACTCCCTCCCACACCTTTTCACCATGGCGGGCAAGATGACTCTCTACAAACTGGTGGTGCTGGGCGACGGTGGCGTGGGAAAAACCGCCTTGACCATCCAGGTACGCTCGTCCCGCCCGCTCTCTCTCTCTCTCCCCTCTCGCTCCTCGTGCTAACGCCCCCCGCCTCAGCTCTGCCTCAACCACTTCGTCGAGACGTATGATCCCACCATCGAGGACTCGTACCGCAAGCAAGTGCAAATCGACGGCCAATCGTGCATGCTGGAAGTCCTCGACACCGCCGGCCAGGAGGAGTACACGGCGCTGCGGGACCAATGGATAAGAGACGGCGAAGGTTTCGTTCTGGTCTACAGCATCTCCTCGCGCTCGTCCTTTGCCCGCATACAAAAGTTCCACCACCAGATCCAGCGCGTCAAGGAATCCGCCTTTTCCGGTTCGCCCACCTATCCCGGATCGCCGCTTAGCGCAACCTCGGGCGCGGGCTCATCCGGCCCCTCTCCTGTCATGTTGGTGGGCAACAAGTGCGACCGTGTGACGGAACGCGAGGTCTCCACCCAGGAGGGCAGCGCACTGGCCCGCGAACTGGGCTGCGACTTTGTCGAGGCGTCGGCCAAGAACTGCGTCAACGTGGAAAAGGCTTTCTACGATGTCGTCCGCCAGCTCAGGCGCCAAAGGCAGCAAACCGGCCGGAACTCCAAGAGCTCCGACCCAAGGGGAGGCAAGAGCGGTAAGGCACCGGTCGGCGGTGCCCCGGGAGGCGGCCGCAAGAACGACAAGGGAGGCAAAGGAGGAAAGGAGCACAAGCCTAAGTGCGTCATCCTGTAAAAGGCCAACCGCTGGATCCTCTGCCTTCTCGCGAATCGCCGAGGGTCTCCGCCTGCGATACCACTTCGCTGCAGCGCACGCCGGGCCTGAGACACTCCACCGCTCCGCGGGTCTCAAGCCCTTCGCGTCCGCCAACGCCATCTTCGCAGACCCGTGAACGTGGGTGCCAGTCTACGAAGAGCACGCCAGGTCAATCGCGGCACCCACCAGCCACGCCCCGCGCCCGCTTCGCGCGGGGCTGGCTAAATCTGATGCTTTCGAGCCCAGAGAAATCGAGATCACGTTCCTTGTTTGGGAGACGCCGAGTCACCAGATACGTTCCTTTCTTGTTCAGCGAATCCGCCGCGAATATTAGGCGGACAACCGTCCGACAATACACGCAGACACACACACACACACACACACACATGCACACATAAACACTGCTCAACGAGGCGTTCACAGAGGCAATCTGTGAGCAGAGACACGCGAGCACGCTGCTTGCAACCGGCCAGATTCATCGAGCTTCTCAGTCTCTCCTACCGGAAAGAGGCTTGCATAGGGCACGGCGTTTGGGAGTATGAGGGCGACAATGTTACGGCACGAGCCGCGGAGGTGGCACTCTTGGGACCTATTTTTTTCCTTTCCTTTATATCTATTTTTCTTCGAACATTGGGGCGTCGCATGCTGGGATGTGCATTGCAGCAATGGTGTTGTCTCTGCCTGTCGAATTTTTCCTTTCCTTTTCTCTTTTTCCTTTCCTTTGATTTCCTCCGAATCTCTGTCGAAAAAGTGCTGTGTTTTTTCTTTTTCCTCGCAAAATGTCCTGCCAATCTTCGTCCTTTTTCTTGTTTCTCACATATTTCCCGTCATGTTTCTCTTTTGTTGTTCAGACCGACGATAACAGTCTAGAATCAGCCTGAATGAGATTCCCGCAGGCACATAGCTTATTATTTTTTCCTCTTCTTGTTTGTCTAGCATAATGAGAGATTATCCATGCATCTGTTCTTCCGTCCGTTTGTCTATCCAATTCGTCCACACAACCTGCATTCCCCAACCCCGCAGCAACGCACCCCAGACGCACGCAAGGCGGAAAAGGCAAAAGAGAGGGACTTCGCGCACGGCACTTGGTGCCAGCACCGCACACCAGCGGGCCCTCAGCATGCCATCGCGTCCCGCGCGCTCCCGCGCCCACACGGCCAGAGCTCGACAGCATCAACCACGACGCCGCCGCCACCGCCACCGCTGCCGCCGGCGCCCAACCCTCGATCCAGCCAAACTACCACCAACAAACCAACCACCCCATCGACGAATGCACCGAAGCGTCCGCCCAACTGAGGCGCTCGGCCGAGCTTCCGTGCCCAGACCCAGGCCCCCCACAGCACAGAAGCACGGCCTTGGGCATCGGATCGGGCGCCAACACGGCCTTGGGCTTGGGCTCTAGCTTGCAGCTCGCAGCTCGCAGCTTCCAGCCCCGCTAGCTTTGAGCACGAGCACACGATAGCTCCAACCTCGATTTCTATCTATGGGACATGGGCGTTCTCAGGGTCGCGGGCGTGCGCATCGCACGCCTGAGAATTGCCACCACGATGCCCTGTTACGAGGGGAGGGGGGCAAGTAGGGTAGGTGCACGCACGTCCGGCTCGCTCGCACGCGCGCACGCTTGCGAGCGGCCCGGCGCGGGACGCCTGGGGCTTTGGCTGCCTGGCTGCCTGTCCTGTCTGGCCTCACCACCTCACTCTTAGCACTGAAGCGAGGGGGCCTTTCGAGGGCCGTGGGGGCAAGGCAAGGCAAGGCAAAGCAAACGTGCAGACTGCAGGCGGGCAAAGCGGGCGGGCAGGGCAGGCAGGGCGGGCAGGGCTTCGCCTTCCTTCGTTCGCACGGCCGCCCCGTCCGTCCCCGCGCCACGGTGCCGGGTCGTTCGCGTGTTTGCCCGCGTGGCCCCGCCCTGGTCGGTCAGGTCGGCCACGGCCGGCTTGCGGCGGCCGAGAGGGCTTGATTCAGACATCGTGCGCGTTCGCCTGTGTCGATGTTGCTCGCTTTGGGCCGTCGCCGCCGCTGCCCTTCGCCTGGGGCTGGGGCTGGGGCTGGGACTGGTGCTGGTGTCGACTGTTGGTTGGGGCGGCGGCAGGTCGCGGATTGCATTGGCGCGATTGGGCAGGTAAGTCTGAGGCATGGGCGTGGGCGTGGGGGCGGTGCGCTGCGCTGCGGCAGCGGGCGGACGGGGGGGCGGGGCGGCCGGGCGGGCGCGGGCTTGCTTGCAGCTTGTTTGGTGCAGGGCTGTGGACGGTGGGCACGGCTGGCCGCGGGTTTTAGTGATTAGTGATTAGAACCTATTGTTTTTCTTTTGTTGCTGCCTGCTGCTGATCTTGTCTCGGGGATTTTACTACCTGCCACGTAGGTACGTAGCAGGGTATCACGCGGTGGGTTTATTTATTTTATTTTATTCTATTTTATTTATGTTTTTGGTGGTAGGGGTACGTGTACAGCGTGTGTCCGTCTGTAGCTAAGCCGGGTGGGCGAGGCAGCTGGCAGCGACAGCGAGCGAGCGAGGGGGGAAACAGCCCCTTTGGGACGGACGCTGATGGCGATCTCCGGCTAGCTATGTACCTAGCTGGCTAGCCTTGCTTTCCTTTTCTTTTTTGGCCTTCCGGCGGACAGGTTAGTTACGGATTACGCTCTCGGAGACTGACGAGACTAGAGGCTGCAACGGTGGTATTTGGTATGGTTGTTTTCGTCGGCTTGGGCCTGCTGCTGTGGGCTTGTGGGCGGACGACGTTTTCCACACATACGCTGCACCCTAGGTACATAGGTACCCATCTGGGTCCCCCAATCCCCGACGGTCGCTGACGCGCTCCCGACGCTGTGGATGCCAGGATGCCCACGCGCAGTCGCCAGGTCGCCAGTCGCGCGCGAGGGCAGTTACTCCCCATCTCGTCAGCAACGGGCTGCTTCGTACGCATCACCTCCGCCTCGGTACCCAGGTGGGTTAAGGTACCTTGGGTACACGCACGCACGCACGCACGCACGCACGCGCGTATCCAGCTCCTCGGTCTCGCCGCAATCCCACATCCCACTCTATCAGCCCCCAACATCATATCACGCTCGCGATCACGATCATGATCACTGATCACTGCTCCCGCCCTCGCCCTCGCCCTCGGCATCTACACACGATAGCTAGGCATCGGCCTTAACCTGCGCCTTGGCTCGCGCGCCCGTCCGTCCGTCCGTCCGTCCGTCCGTCCTTCCCGCCCGCTGGGCGTGCGTGCGAGCGTCCCGCGCCGTGCCGCACCGCACCGCACCGCACCGCACCGCACCGCACTGGCGCTGACGGGTGTCCTATGCATGCATGCATGTGTGTATGTATGCATGTATGTAAGCTGACGCGCTGGCATGCCCGGGGTCCACGGTCTCCGCGGACGCAGTGGGCAGGAGCCTAGCTGGCTGTTGGTGTTGGTGTTGAGGTGTGAAGAGGGGGGACATCGGGGGCGGTACTCCGTCGACTTGCTGCTGATGGGCTGATGGGTGTACAATAGTAGTAGAGAGGGCGGTATTACTGAGCCGGCAGGGCTACCGTCTTCGTGCATACCTAGGAGTACATACATACCGGGCACTAACTACGACATTGTGCGCTGCCGGTGTGCGCTATAACTAGCACCTAGGTACAACATTGTACCGATTTAGCGCGGCCGCGCGTGTTGTTCGTATATGTATGTATGTATGCCCGGCAGCCGGGGATGCGGTTGCGGATCAGCAGCTACCTAGCCATTCAACGGCGGCGGCGGCGGCGGCGGCGGTGGTGGTGGTGGTGTTGCGATTGGCGCAGCCGTTGCCGCTCGAGTGGATCCAAGCTCCGCGCAGTCCTGCCCATCACTTGCGCAGAGTGAGTGGCCCATACGCGGCTCTTGCTATGGCTGTTGCTCGCTACGCCCTACTCGCTTTGTAGAGGAGCTGCGTGGTAGCAATAGGCAGGTAGACTGTGGGAGCGCTATTGGCGGGCCAAGCTCGGCCATCCATCCTTGGCTATGTAGAGTATAATATTGTACTTACTCCCGTAAGGACGGAGTAGGCATTAACTCCAACAGGCAAACGTTATTGTTCTGCTGCTTGCTGATTACTGACCGACCCCACCGCGCCTGGCCCTGCGACGCCTGCAAAACGGCGCGTGTCGCGGGGTGGGTACGTAGCGGCCACGGTCCAAGTCCAGCGAGGTCAGACTCAGACCCAGCCCCAGCGCAGTGCAGGTCGGCTCGCGCCGGCCGTCCGCAGCATGTAATTGGCGGGCGCATGTCCTGCCAGCCTATCGCGTTGCAGGACCCAGCTACTCCCTACTCCGTCTCCGTCCCTATACGGAGAGCTTACTCGCACTTTGACTTTGACGCGGCTATCGATATCAAACGGCAACGCTCATCGTCGATGCAATGTCATGCTAAAATCTAAGGTTAGGTGTTGCGTCCCGCGCTCCCCGCGCCCTCTCGCTGCGCGCGGAGCCGCTCCGCCCGCTGGCCTGCCTAGGTATTGTACGGAGTATAGGGATGGATGCGTTGCCCTCTCCGCCTGCTTCCTCTCGCAGCGCTGGCTGGCTGACTCGGGCATCTACCGCCCGCAGACCGGCCAACCAAGCCAACCAACCAGCCAACCAGCCAGCCAGCCACAGCGCGCGCAACCGCGCTGATGAAGCATCGCAGTATCAACGTCTTTCTAATTCTTCAAGCAAGGCCAAGGCAAGCATCACGCACCTGCCCGAGCGCTGAGACAGGACCTACACGCCCCCGTACGATACCCACGCAACCCACGCGACGCGGCATATCCCGCCGGCGTCCCACTTGCCGCCGTGCTCGTAGGGCCAGACTGGCGGGGCGCGAGTCACGTCCGTCCGCCTGTATGTATGTACAAATGTATGTACAATGTGTATGGCAATAGGAACAAGCACGGTGGCTCTCTGAGGTTTATGCCTATTGTATACGCTGATCTATTGTGAGTGTAGATGGAGATGGAGATGAAGATACAGAGTGCTGCGTAGCTATGTATTGTACATATACATAGTGGTAGCCTGGTAGGTAGGCAAGCTAGGCCGTAACCACTTACCCACGCGCCCACTTCCCGATCGGCGCGGCGCCGCGCCGCTTCTGTAGCGTAGTGTACAGGGGTCGGGGTCTGGGTCGAGGAAGAAGAAGAAGAAGAAGAAGGCCGCAAGGCCGCAGAGATTCATGACCACGCCCTCCCTCTACCAAAGCGAGAGAGAAAGAGAGTCAGCGCCAGAGTCAGAGCCAGCAAAAAAAAGAAAGAAAGCAAACGAGCAAGAACAGCCGAAGACGCCCGCTCGCTCGGGGCGCCGCGGGTGCGCGTACCCGGAGCCGTTAGGGCGGGCTGGCTTGATTTGCCCTAGTCATGGCCATGGATGGATGGAAGTAGTCAGGTAGGTATTGTACTAGGTAGGGACGCGATTCAGGACGCGTGCTACCGCTGGTGTTGGCGCGCGTAAGGCCGTGGCTCGTGGGTGCTGTATTATGCTGTATTGTAAGGGCGCCCCGAGGGAGGGGAAATTGGGCGGGTGCGTATTGCGTGTGGTTTGGCTGGTGTGGGGTGCATGAGGGCTGGGCTGGGCTCTGGGCTGGGCTGATGAGGGGGGGGGAGGGGGTGTCATAACTCGTAAGGCTGGCGGGTTGCGTGATGCGTGCGTGCGTGGGTTAGTGGTTGGGTTTCTTTTTTGGTGGATTGGATTGGATTGGGCTGGGTTGGGATGGGATGCATTGGATGGGCTTGTACGCTTGTACCCTATGCTGGCGGCGGTGGTGGTGGTGATGGTCTAGTCTGCAGGTCAGCCTGTCCATGGCCATGTCCACGTCCCCGTCCATCCAACTCCGTGCCAGCTCCGGGACTCGGGCGCGCGCACACACACGCACACGCAGAAAACGAGAGACTCAGACAGGCACGCGCACCGCACGCGCACACAGACAACTGGGGGGGCCGAAATCTCCGCGAGTGCGCGTGCAGACGTGATGCGCGCCCGGGTGCAATAAGTGATTAGTCGACGGATAATAGTAATACAATAATAATAAGTAAAAGGAAGATGAGGAGGGCATGAATGAGCGAGTAAAGCTAAACTAAAGCTAACTATGTATGTACAATGCTGCATTAGGTCGAGCCTCCTTTTTTGCTATTGGTGCTAGGTGTAATAGGCGCACCTACTCCGTACTCCACCATCGCATCGCATCGCATCCATGATCCATCGCACCGCACGCACACGCACATCTCGGCCAGGCCGGCCATCACTGTAAGGGACGACGGGTAGTGGGTCCCGCGCGCACGCACGCACGAAGGAAGATGAGAGCACACGCCGTGCCCGCCTCACTTCTTGATCGGCCGTACCGGCACGTGGCCGCCCGTCCGTGGGTTCGTCGTGATGGCGATGCGCGCGAGAGGCCTTGTTCATGCGCGCTAGGCCTCGCTTGCTGCTTTGGGTAATTGCATGGGTGGGGGGGTCGCTTCCATGGTTGCTCTGAGAGAAGGGATGCTCTCTGGCCCCGGCCTGTGTGCACAGGCAGTCGCCCTGCCCTGTTCCTTGTCCTTCTCCGTATTCCAGGTACCTAGCTGGATGCGATGCATGGTGTTGATTATGTGCCAGCACCGCACCCACCACCATCGCCCACGCTCCGATCGTCATCTACGGATATGGAGGATGCGCGCGCACACGCACACACGCACATACAACGGCGCTTCTATTCTCGACAATGCCCCAGTATTACGCTCCGCCGCTCTGGATATTACACCTTATATTGCACCTATTACCCGATTTGGACCGCGTGCCCCAGCGGACAGCGGTGTTGCCTCCGCTGCTGAGATTCGAGATCTTCGGTCCTCGCTCACTTGTTGTGTAGTAGGTAGTGGGTGCGTGAGAACACACTGCCCACTAACAATACCAACAATACCCACCTATGGCCTCAGGCCAGGCTAGGGCAGAGCACTCCTTTCACCATCCCCACCGCAGCGGCAGCCCCATCCACGTATGATCATGATCCATTCATTCTGCAATACAACACCCGATCACATACACTCACCTGCCCTGCCCTACCCTACCACAACCCATTCCTTCTGCAGATTACCGCCCTCCCCACCCACCCAACCACAAGACGGCCCAACCCCCGGGCCGTTGCCGCTCCCGCCCCCATCCCTTCCCATTACGCACGCACACACTCCCCTCCCCACCCCACTCTCAGTCCCCGCCCCCAATTCCTCCGCCCAGTCTTTCCCAAGCAAGCAAGACGGTCCCGCTCCGAGCGGAAAGACCGAAGGAAGGAAGGGGCAAGTCCGGGCAGGGTACGGATATTGCTGTGACGGATATATATATATATATATGTATGTATGTATGTGATACGGGTGCTGGTGGGTGGCCTTGTTGTTGGTGTTGCTATTTCAAGATCCCTGCCGTGCAGGCATGCCCTGCAAGCACGCATGTATGCATGTATGTATGCAAGCATGGATCATGGATGTGATGTGATGGTAGTGGGATGGTAGTAGCTGTTGGTTGGATACCTATCTTATCCACTTTGCCTTATTCTACCGCATACGTACTGTACTGTACATGCACAATATACATACGCAATCAGGCGCGAGATATGCTGCTACATTTCAACCTCTATGCTGTCGCTGTGCTACGCATGTATGTATGCTCGGTGTGAACAGTATTGTGGGTTTGATTGGAAAGATTGTTTATTATTTAAGACTGTAGTTAGCTTGTGCGGATATGTTTGTGGAGACATCGGTAATACGTAGGGATGGAGAGAGGTGTGTGGAGGAGTAAGCAATGACAGAGACGGTAGGGGATGCTATTTTGGGTTGGCGATAAAGGTGGAAAGTGTAGCAGGGTTAGGGTAGAATTACAGGAATGTTCAGGGGAGTTTAGAGACATTTATCAAGGACAGACCCGATTCGCAATATAGAAGTAGGAGAACTGCGTCGAAGAAGTCCGTATATCATAAGAATATATGATTTTTGTCGCTGTCGCTACCAATATCAAACCAGGTAGCATGGAGAGGGATGTCTGTTCAGCCAAGGCTGTAGCAAAGTGCAATCGGTGAAAGGGGTACTTAAGTAGTTTAACTACACATATTGCTGTAGTCAGCCTCCCAACATTCACTGAAGCACCTCCATAAGCACCTCCATAAGCTAGGAAAGCCATTCAGCCAGGCCCTTCGCCGCAGTGTGCCAGACCAATCCCTCTATTTGTTGCAGCGGAGCCGCGTTGTAGTTTCCTACGTGACCCATGAAAAACTGCAATGGAAGGCGTACCTGAATTCAAAGCCATGACCCGTCCTTAACAACGGAAACGTTTGTCGTTCTTGCTGAAAAGTTGTTGGTCGACCTTGACGCAGCACTGATGTTGCCTTCTTGGTCACGGCTTGCGACTTCTCCCTCTCCCGACGCAACTGTGCTCGAGGCCCATTGCCCAAACAACAAAAGGGAGGAAGCGGCTGTCGACGGCAAGGCCAGAGCATTTAAGCAACTTCTGTCCACTTCTCTTCTTCCTCTTCCGCTGTCTCTTGTCATTCATGCCTCTGTGTCCATCAGCTTCATGCCATCCTTTTCGTGGATACTGCCCTCTTCGATTTCCTTCATCTCCTTGCTACGATCTGCGCCGCTCGTGTCTCTTCAGCATCCTGCAACTCTCGTTCTTCTCTGGCTTTTCAGCCGCTGCATCGATAGGACCTCAGACGACCCTTGTCCTTCCGAATCTGGCACTGCAACGACGCGAATCGATGCATGATACCATGCCGGGTCGACTTTATTCTTGGGTTCCTTCGTCTCATCATTGGTCTTTTATTGCAACATTTCCCCACTGCACGCCTTCACTTTAGCGTGCGTCTGTGCCAGCATTGCGATACTGGACTTTGGGTATTGCTCCTTCATCCCCTTTTCACTAAACCCGTCTAACAATTCCTCCAGGCCTCAACCAGCTAGCATCCTTAAGAAGCGGCTACCGAGAACGTCGGAAACCTGCAACTTCGGACAAGAGGCTGAGACCAGGATGAAGAGCTTCTGGACACTGAATGGAAAGATGAAGGAACAATACCGAAGGCAAGTGCTGAGGTGTTCCCCGTGAGGATTCTTACCAAGATCAAGTCTGAGACTTTTGTCAATGATGATACCTTATCTTAAGAGAGTCTGAGGGACCTTAAGGCGGTCAATTTTCGGCTGACCCCTAAAACATCTGCAGGGCGATACCTTTTATACAGCGAAGCAGCACGACGGCTGAGCGGTACCGAGAACGTCGGAACCAGCAACATCGAACAAGCGGCTGCTCTGGAAGGAACAGTACCAAAGATAGGTGATCCCAGTGGTGATGCTTACCATGTCTGAGACGTTTGTCAATGACGACATTATATATACTTTAAGAGAGTCTGAGGGTTCGACCTTGGGGCAGTCAACTTTTGGCTGACCTCTAAAAACCTTTATAGGCGATGCGGATTTGCAGCAACGTTTTCTTTGCAAAGGCACCAGTCGTCAAACGCCTCTCTTCTCCACCCAACCCAGACTTGAGGGGATTTCCAGTGATTCCCAACCTCGTTTCCAGCTTACAACCACGGTTCCGGTCTTCGGCCTTCTCCTTGCAATCTTGGTCTCTATGAGTCATCGGGTATTTGAGCCAATCCCAAGCTCTTTCGGAACAATGTGTTCGCAGTTCACACCGGATGTTGCGATATTTGGCTGCAAATGATGGATCGTCAGAGATCTACCGGAGTTCGCAGTCTTGTTGGACCGGTGTGCTTTTTTGTTTTCGGTTTGGTGGAATGACGTCGATAGCCGAATGAAAAAGCAAGTCTCTTCGCTTTGACTGTCTTGCATGTTGCCTGGGTACAAAGGTGAACATTGACGCGGAGGAGATGCGGTCGGCACTGAAGTACGGAAGAGTCAATCGATCATGCAACAAGTTAACGGACTCAGTGTTGAACCTGGAGCGAGTTAAGATGTTTGACATTTCAGTCGTTGGGGCGTGCTGGAGTTGATGAGGTGTTCAGGTAGTGGTTGATGTCCGGTCGCTGCTGAACCAACTTAACGCTAACCTAATTCGGAAACACCTCTTCGCGATTCTTTCGACTGCTATTTACACACGCCAGTTTCTATTGTATGCTTCACTGCTCTGTACTGTTAGGTGCATTACAACATATGCTATCCGATATATGTTCTTTTATGCAGCCAGAGAATAGTCTTATGCTTTACTAAGGTCGAAGAAAGAAAAGTTATTGTTTATATGTCTACAGTGAGCTATACTCTATAGAACCGAAAGCACATTAAACCGCTTTAGATCTAGATATCAAAGATACGGCAATCATGCTTATATGCTCCTGTAAGTACTAGGGTATTCTATAAGGGTATAGAGGTATAAATAACTACGTGTACATACTAGAGTAATCTACGAGTGTATAAAAGTAGAAAATTCGGAAGGTATAAAGGTACCTATAAAGGTATAAGGATATAAACTATCAGAGTAGAACGTGTGACGTTGTTTTGCGGATATGTTATCGCGATGGGCGGGCAAAAATATCCATTTGGATGGTCAAATTATCATTCGGCTTTCTATAACCACATATATCTGGAAATCGTCAAGATAAGTATGTATAAGTAGCTTGAAGATATAGATTCTTGAATATACAACTCATTTCATTTTTTTTAAGTGTAGTTTTCAGCATGTATTCCGCATGGATAACTGCATACCGTCGTCATGACTTTTCACTCCACCGTAATCATATTGTCTCAAGGGCTCAAGCCTCAGTCTCGTTTTCCTTCCGTGCAGTCACACGCACGTAAAACTGGTCCTGCATCCAAATACCGTAGTTGTTGCTCCTCCACGGCTTATTGATATTAATCAGGGAGAAATCAAAAGCCAGAAGAAGCTGCAGGCAAACAATGTCAGTAAAAAGTCGGCAAAGTAACGATAGCACAACTTACCTCGACGAAGATCTTATTCAGCTCCATAGCAGCAATGGTCTTCCCAAGGCAGATATACCGACCATAGCCAAACACGAGCTCGACCGTCCGCTCCATCTGCACTCTCGTCGTCTCGTCCGCCTCCAGCCACCGCTCTGGCCTAAACACATCGGGATCAGCGCCGAAGACCTTGTCCCGCTGCGCCGCCCAAATGCTATGCCCGACTTTCGTACCCGCAGGCAAGAAGTGCCCCTTAACTTCGTCGCCACCGGCAGGGACCTCCTTCATCAGGAGCCCAGTGAAAGGCGGGTGCATGCGCAGGCCCTCTTTAATGACAGCCTGGAGGTAGGGCAAGGTGCGGGCCTCAGCGGAGGTGATGACGGGACGGGAGAGGCGGCCTTGGGCGAGGGCACCGGCGAGCTCGGTGCGCAGCGCATTGAGCGCCGTCGGCGTTGTCATGAGGCGGAGCATCGTGGCGCGGATCGCAGTGGCCGTCGTGTCTGACCCCGCGATGATTTGCAGAAGCACTTCCGACTGCGCCTGTCGCGGTGAGATGCCGTGCCGCACGAACGCGCCGAGCATGTCGCGTCGGTCTTTGGCATCGGGGCCGTAGCGCTCGGCGACGACTTCTTTGGCCACACTGACGTGTTGTTAGGTTCGTGATGAGGGATTAGAAAGGGTTTGGTGGGCTAAGATACGCACCCCATAAGCTTTCCCATGCCCGTCTTGTCCGTCTCTTTCGGCCCTATGATGCTCCTCACCCACCCGCTGTTGACAAAGCGCTGCAAGGCGGGGAAGTTGCAGAAGAGACTCAGGTAGGGGATACATTCCTCGGTCGTCCGGATGTACTCGTGGATGTCTTCGTCCCGCTCAAGGTATCCGAAAGGGTAGCCATACGCGAGCTTGGTGATGACGTCCAGCGTGAAGAACTGCGTCGTCTTGCCCAGATCGAGCCGACGCAGCGTCGAGCCCTCGGAAACGTACTTGCGCCGGATGAGCGAGACAAACGAGAGGATTTGCGAGTCAATGTCGCTCTCGAGATTGGGGTTCTCTTTGCCTGCGTACTGCATATTTTCTGTCATTTAGCATTTACGTTCATGGGCGGAAGGCCTTGGAGGGGGCCTTACGCCTGCAGAGAGCTGCGACTTGAGCAGGTCATGCTTGACGTTGTCTCGCACGTTGAGCGCGTTGTCGCAGTACGGGTCCAGCGACATCGAGTCGTACCATTCTGAGCGCTTCCAGTTCGTTCGCGCCGACGACATGTGACGGATGATGTCCGGGTCGTCGGTGAGGAGCTCGTTCGGGCCCACCCGAGCAAGAGGACCTGCAATCCTAAGTGTTAGTGGATCTGAGCATGCGCAAAAGCTGTTTCCTCTCTGTACGTACCGTACTTCTTGTTGGCCTGCTCGTAGAGCTCCCATTGCCGTCCCGTCTGGCTAGCTATCGCCATCCAGAGGCGGGAGAACGAAGCATACCATGGGCCTTTGAATTGCCGAAGCCGGTACCAATCTCTTATGCAAGAAACAACGAAGTAGGAGAACAAGAAGAAAGGGAGATAAGGAAGAGCGGCTACAGCCGCAGCGCGGAGAGTCGAGGGTTCGTGGATGGACTCCATGTGACCTGACGACCTGATTCTTGACTCCACGAAGGCAACAAAATGTGAGGTAACCTCAGTCTGTTTATCATGAGGGGTCCTGCGCCTTTATATATCCTCGGGGAGTATGGCGGGGCACCATTTTTAGGCCAGCAATCAGGATTGCGGGCAGCCTTAATAATAGAACTTTTAAACCGCTAAACGGAGGGGCTATCTGTTTCACGCTGTACTGTGGAAATCGTAGCCTTCGGAGTTGCAGGGATCCCATAGCGAGATACGAAAAAGAACTGCGTTGCGCCAATGGTGTGTATTACAATGACCATTGAGTGAGTGGATACAAATTAGCGGGGTAGAGTATTCGGTATGGCACCACGCCACGACTCGGTCGACAGTCCCTTCAAGGCACTATCTCGGCTCCATCGCCGTACCCTGTAGGCTCGTCCGTCGGTGGTTGGTTAGTTGAAGCCCCGCCTACAACGTGACACACTTTATCTGCCCGGCCGCACCTCATCAAGGGAGAATTTGCAAAATGCATGCATGAAGCCCTTCAAAATCAGCCATCGCTCTTTCAAAGTCCCGCTTGCACAATGAATGAAGGCCCAAAAGCTCGGTTTATGCTGGCTATATGTGCGATGTCTCACGGCGCTCTCATTGGCTGAGCTAAAGAAACGAGCGGCATAAAAAAGCCCGGCTCTTCCGAAATAGGAAACATTGGCGCTGCTTTCTGCGCGGCAACGCACCATGGCTTGCCGACAGACTAACGTCCGTCACCGTCAAGCGGTATTCACCGCCTACCGAGATAATGACGCTTGTACGGGGTAGAAGTAGAAGTCCAGTTAAGGTGATTGCAGTATGTGTATGCTGAGACCTTTTATTCATATCCGGTATTTAGGCCTGTAGCTAGTCAAGGAGCAGTCTGTAGGGACTTCTTATATCGTTCCCTATCTTGCTAGACAGTGAATCTCGGTTGACGGTGACGGGCGTTAGCAAAAATGCCATCGCCGCAGCTGATCGAGGATTAACAGCTTACCAAGAAACCGTTCATCGGATTGACATCTCAAGCGCCTGTTCGCCCCGAACATCCGAACAAGTGATCGCCATCAGGGCGGGGATGCAACCGAAGGGCCGCAATGGCCTCTAGACACCAGAATTCTTGGACACAGGTTCGGAAAGAACTGCGTAATGACTTAAATCGAGTTGTCTGACTCTCACAGTAAAACGCGCAGTAACAATTGAGGGATGGGACGGTGACTAGGAGTGATCACTGCTATATATGAAGTGTAGGAATGACAGCAGTCTGGGTCGTTCGAAGGATCTTAGATGCGCGCCGCAGGAGCTGCTCTTAGCAGGTATTATTTGTGGTCGACTTGCTCGCCGAGAATGACGTACTATAAAGTCAATACTGGTGGTGCTAAAGAGTTGTTTCATAATGAAGTAGACGGATATGAAGACAAAGAAAGCTTTTGTATTGCACCATTCTACGCCAAGCAAATAGACAGTGGCTTCAGTCTGTCGTAGGGCTGGTGTTGTCGCCAGTCCGCAAGCATCCCAGCGGGAGATTGCGATCAGCCTGGTGTCCGTGACAGCGGGTCCGGGGAGTCGTGCATGCCGTCGTGATGATATTCTTCGTTGTGATACATCTCTATGGCGAGCCGCATGGATTTCATTTTTTATTCCCTTAGCCGAATGCATAAACACTGCGGAAGCATATTTCGCCATAGGAGCCCAACCATGCATTCGATCGCCATTGTGAGAGAGCCCCGAGAATCCTTGTCCGTCGTCCACCACCAGCTGCCGATTAAACAGCTTAGACCTTGAAACCCCTCGACCTTCTGCGACCACGGGCACGCTCGAACTTCCTGCCCTTGCTCTCGACGTAAGGCTTCTGTAGAAAGGGTCAGTGATCCGTTTATCGCATGGCGCTCTTCGCTTTCTGAAGCCTATTGTGCCTACCTTGCCGGAGTGGGGACCGAAGCCGAAGTGCTTGACAGCCTCGCGGGCGTTCTTGGGGCCACGGAGGAGGAGGGTGTTGGCACCGGTGGGGGAGCGCATGGCCAGCTCGTCGAGAGTCAGGCACTCGCCGCCAGCAGCCGTGATCCTGGCCCTGGCGGTGGAGGTGAAGCGCAGAGCAGCGACGGAGAGCTTGGGGACCGTCAGGAGACGGTTGTCGTCGGTGACGGTGCCAACGATGACAATGGTCTTGCCCTCGTTGGTCTTGGCCGCGTGGGGGTTGGCCGCCGTCGCAACAATGCGGGAGATGGACATGGGCGGGCGGTTGATGCGGGACATGAACAGGCGACGGAGGACGACCTTGTTGAAGTTCGAATCCGTGCGGCCTGGAGTGCAATGTTAGGGTTTTCGCTCGTGTCGCGGGCGTGCGAGTCTTGAGGCTCAGGATTTGGACGTACGGGCAAGGAAACGGTACAGCTTCACCAGGAGCTTAACGTAAACGTTGTCGCTCTTGGGAGCCTTGCGGTGAGTGCTCCGCACGTGGTGTCTGTCCAAGTCGATACCTGTAGAGGCCGCCATGTCAGCCAAACCGTCCGTCGGCAAGTATCCAGATCATCCTCGCGTCGTCGAGCGTTTCCGGGGAACAGCAGCGAGGTCGGATCGTCCTGGCGTGCAGAGGAGGGCTTCACATACCCATTGTGGCGGCGGCGGTTGTCGATTGTCGAGGTTGGGTCGTCGTCGTCGTTGGTGTCGCAGCCGAAAAGGTTATGGGATTTTTGCAGTCTTGCGCCAAGAGTGCGTCGCTTAGGTACCGCACGGACCATGACGGCCTTGGAGCACCCGCGACAGGGCAAGCAGCCTCCACCAAACTTCTCTCATATCACCTAGGCACATTTCTCGGCGGGTCGGTCTCTTTGGCCATGCAATTGCTCGAGGACCCGTGTCGCGCATCTACAATTATGTTTCGTAGCTCATGCAGGCTGATCCGGACCTCCGCACACGAGCATAGGCATGTATGCGAAGCCCCAATACTATCTTACTTGGGAAACCAGTCGACTATTCATGGGACATGGTTGATGTGGGACCTCCATAGACGGCTTTGCCCTTAAAGGCGGTGGCGTGGCACACAACCTGCCAGCAACAAGCAGTATATCCACACAATGTAGCTCGAGAGTACTTTCATTCGTCGTTGCCATGATTTTGATTGTGCAAACCACCGTCCCTCTAGAACAATTATTTCTCCAGATTCTCGTCCGCGCTCTATCCGCCGACCTCTCGCAGGCTGGCTCACTACGTGCCGCTAACACCCGCTTCCCGATGTTTTTATGAAGCAGTCTTTCCGCCCGCAAATGCACCTGTGCGCAATGTACAACTAATCAACCAGCTATGTAATTTTTTCTTTTTTTTCTTTTTTCTTTTTTTTTTTTTTTTGCTGGCGGATCGTTTTAGACTTTGCTATGCTCCGGCGCGTCAACGCCATCCAAACGGGTTGCGGTCGACCGCAAAAGCCTTCTGGATATCCAACGAGGCTCTTTTCAATTCATGGAGTGATGCGTCAGCTCCATAACGTTATATTTCTTCCTCTTCCTTGTGCAGCGCGAGCAGGAAGTCTCTCGTCAGTTCGAAACTTAGCCAACTGCTGGCCATGCTAGGCGCGACCTTCAGCAAATTCGGCGCGATACCCTTGTACAGACCCCGGAGGCCTTCTTGACCGACGATTATGGTGATCGCGTCCCAAATTGACTTGTATTGATAGCCCATGCCGCTCATGGTGTTGATTTGGAATCTCCGGCGCAAGACGTCGCTAAAGCTGTCAGTATCTAGCAAAGACGTTGGCGTATTTTAATCTTACAATGGGTATGTGAATGTCTGCGCGACGGCGCCCGAGACGGCACCAGCACCAAGCTTTCCTAAGACGCCTGGGTCTCTTTGCCCTTGCGCCGTGAAATAGTTGCGCATTGTTTCGTAGACCATGAAGTTCAGACCAACCTACTCATGCGTTAGACTGGAGATACGGGCCCGTTACAGATCAGGCTCACATAAGGTGCAACACCGGCGATGGTGGGTATGATTCCTCGATACAACGCGAAGAAGCCACCTTCATTCTTATACATGGAAGCCAGTAGCCCCCACATTCCGGGGAGTTTCTTGTCGTGTGCCAGGCCCTGGAAGGACGCTGACTGTATAGACAGACGGGTGCGAACAATGTCTAGAGGATAAGTGAAGGTGACGGAGGTGATGCCTGCAAAGCCTCCGCAAATGAGTCTCTGGTACGCACCCAGCGGGGAACCGGGGGTATCTTCGAAAAACTGTTCTGACGCGTTAGTAAGGTTGATCTCCTCCATCCAGCATGGATACAGGCGCACTGCTGACAAGGGGATATCAACTTACTCGTTTGTAGAAATTGAAAGCGCCAAACTGTATCGCCGAGTAGGGCACGATGCGAATGCAATTGGTGCCATTGCCCGCCATGAAGCCTCTCCAGCCTTCTTCGCGCCACATCTTGGCCAACGCCTTGCCGATGGACATTTTGTATTCGGTCCTCCCAAGGCTCTGCACTTGGAACAGGATCTTCAATCTCTCGAGTGGCGAGACGACGGTTCGGGAGACAGCGCCAGCAACACCGCCAGCGAAGAAGGAGGCCAGGACAGGTTGGGATATTGTCTCTTGCAGTTGGGCTATGCGCGACGGGGCGGAATCGGGGGCAGACATTATCGCGGGCGGCTAGCGCATGCGTCAGTGGGCAGATAGCATGGTTGAGGTTGAGTGGTGACGCACCTTGGTATCTTTGGAGGAGGCCGAGAGATTCGACATTTGTTTGCAGCGCTGAGGCGATGCTCAGTCAGCGCGCGAGCCGAACTCGCCAGCAGGCCGAGGAGAAGCGTGGCAAGGCGCGCGGGGTTTTGCTACTCGCGATAGTAGCGGCAGAAAATCCGGGGAACGGAGCTATCGGCGGACAGGCGACGCAGCTGGACAGGATGAAACGCTGATCATCAACGAAGCGCGTGGAACAAGGGCCCAGGGCGGGTCGGAGGAGCGAAGGAGAAAGATATCGGAGGCTTAGTGAGTGCGGCGGCCATCCAAAGGCTGGGAAGCAAAGCAGCTCTAGGAGTCTGCGCCCTGACGTGTGGTTTTGCGCGGGCCTGGTCGGCCTTGTGGAGATTAGGTGCCTGGTGTTGTTTTAGGCTTAGCCTCTGCTCCTCGTCGAGATCGCTGCCCCGTTCGCCGTGCGGGACGAGCCTTTCGCAGCGTCGCTGACGAGAAATGAGCGATGGAGCATCTGAGGGGGGCGTCTCGACATTCGAGGTTGGTCGCAGTGCAAAGACCGCATTCCTGACACTGTCTCCTCCAAGTAAAGCCAGTCCATGTCTCGAGTTCCAGCCCAATCACCGCCCGCACACCGCATCCTGCCAATCGCAATCAAGACGCCTCCTGTCGCATGCTCCTGATCACGAAGTCGCACCATCTGCCTCGCAAACTTGCTGATTTGATTTTCTGCTGTGTACGGAGACGGAATACCTTGGTGTCCCGCCAGGGGAGCACCAGAGATGCGGCTCATCAACCATCAAGTTAGGAGTAGCCACCAGACTGAGGTCGCCGTAGCAGTCTCGAACCAATCAAGACGGCGCTGCATATCGCTTTATCCAGGCTTGTCCTACACGTAACTTTGCTTCTGCGAAAGTTCCGTGTGTTAGCGAATGTGCGCATCTGCCTTATGTCAGCAGCCGCATGACTCGCGCTAAGCTTTGGCATATCGGAGCTGCCCGATACCTCTATGGAGCCAAAACCGGGGTAATGGATGCGTGGGTGAGTATGTGTAGTCCTGTATACCATGCGATAGATCAAGCATCCTGTTGCTACTTCCCAAAAGCGCCTGCCATAGTGGTCGGTTATGCGATGCTGCCGATCCCGGATCCTGCAGACCGAGTCGGGGCAAAACTCTAAAAAAATGTCACAACCTCAATACCAACCTCGGTCTCTCCACGTCCCCATCTGTGCGCATACGGTCAGTAAGCTTTTTTCCTTTGTTCTTTGAATTTACGAGTTAGAGTTGGAGAAAGGCTGCTCATTGCTCCTCACCACACATACTAAGGTTCTCTGATTCACTCTACCTTGCTTTTTCTCGCTCTGCCGTGTGTCATTCTGTATCAGCGCATCAGCGTTTACCTTATATTTATCTCGTATTTCCCGTAGCTACTTTCCCTTGGCTTGCTGTTAGCATTCGCGAGGTTGTCTCTTCTCACATTACTCACCAACTGCCAGACTCAATCATGACGAAAACTGTTGGTGTCCTCGGCGGCGGCCAGCTTGGCCGCATGATGGTTGAACCGGCCAACCGCATGAGAATTCCGATCAACATCCTCGACAGTGCTGGTGCGCCTGCAAAGCAGATCAGCGCACACGATGGCCACGTCGACGGCTCTTTCAAAGATGCCGAGTCCATCAGAAAGCTTGCCAAGACCTGCGATGTCGTCACCGTAGAAATCGAGCACGTTGATACCAAGGTGCTTGAAGAAATTGAGGGAACTGTGGAGCTCTGTCCTCATTGGAGTACAGTCAGAATCATCCAGGACAAGTATGCGCAGAAAGATCACCTGCGCTCCCACGGCGTCGCTACTGCGGAGTCAAAGAGCATCGACCAAGCCACCGAAGAGAACCTTAAAGCAGTTGGAGCTTCGTTCGGTTACCCTTTCATGCTGAAGTCAAAGACTGAGGCATACGATGGCCGTGGCAACTTCCCTATAAAGTCCGAAGCGGATATCCCCGAAGCTCTCAAGCAGCTCGGCAACCGTCCACTTTACGCTGAGCGGTGGGCCGAGTTCACGATTGAGCTGGCTGCTATGGTTGTCAATACGAAGGACGGCACTTATGCTTACCCTACCACGGAAACCATCCACGAAAACAGCATTTGCAAGCTCACCTACACTCCAGCTCGGGGTGTATCCCGTGAAGTTGCGAAGAGGGCAGAGGAGTTGGCAAAGAAGGCCGTCGCAACCTTTAAGGGCAAGGGTATCTTTGGCGTAGAGATGTTCCTCCTGAAGGACAATACGCTTCTCGTCAACGAGATCGCCCCTCGTCCCCACAACAGCGGTCACTACACAATCGAGGGCTGTCATGTCTCACAATTCGAGGCTCACCTCCGCGCCATTACCGACGAAGCCCTGTCAGAGGATGACTTGCAATTGCGCGAACCTGCGGCTGTTATGCTGAACGTACTCGGTGGAAAGACGCCGGATTCTCACCTCAAGGTCTACGAAGCCGCCAAAAAGAGCCCACGTATTAGAATTCACGACTACGGCAAGGCTGAGGCTCGTCCGGGGCGCAAAATGGGGCACTTGACAGTGACTGCGCGCAGCATGGGAGAGGCCGAAGCCTTGATCCAGCCGCTCATTGACGAGGTGGACAGACAGGCTGGCAAGACGGTCGAATCTCATGCTCCCCCGAAGCGTCAGCCCACCGTTGCTGTTATCATGGGCTCCGACTCTGATATGCCCGTGCTCAAGGCTGGCTTCGATATTCTGACCAAGTTTGATATCCCGTTCGAGACGCGTATTACTTCCGCGCACCGCACGCCTGAGTGGATGGTCGAATATGTCAAGAGTGCCGAGGGCAGGGGCTTCAAGGCTATCATCGCCGCGGCTGGAGGTGCTGCCCACTTGCCCGGTATGGCGGCTGCTTTAACTGTCCTGCCTGTGATCGGCATCCCTGTCAAGGCGAGCGTTTTGGATGGTGTCGACAGTCTGTATAGCATCGTGCAGATGCCACGTGGAGAGCCTGTCGCCACCGTCGGTATCAACAACTCGACAAATGCTGCACTGCTGGCGGCCAGGGTCCTGAGTGTCGCAGACCCAAGCATCGGCCAGAAGCTGCACGATTACTTCGAGACAAATGAGAGGGAGGTTCTGGAGAAGGATGCGAAACTGTTAGAGATGGGCCCTCAGGCATATCTGGCGCAGATGCCGGCGAAGAAGTGAGCACGTGAGGCAGCCCCTGGGACCCGGAAAGATCTCGGAGACGATATCAAAATTTACAGCACACGATAACTGGGTTCTAAGAAGCATGATAGAAAATCTCTATGATTGACCAATATTCGCTATCCAAACGCATGGTATGCTTCGTCACCGGTTACAGATCTGAAGATACTTTATGCGATCTTCATCGCACTCGTACCGTACGTCATTGTTTGTTAACACAGGAAGGTTGTTTTTCAGTTGAGAAAAGTATTTAGTTCAATCCAGCAAAGGATTCTTTACAGACTTGGCCCTCATTGCGAGATTTGTTGTCAAAATCACTAGTTCCCTCGTTTGCTTTTCGCAAGCAACGACAGGTGCTCATTGCACGGACAAATTTCGTCATACCAGGGTACAGCATCAACAGCCATCGAGTTTCAGTGTTTATTAGACAGAAAACATAGCCCCTAATGGTGGCACCGATCGACTGTTTCCACTACGCTAGTCCACTGTTCCTGAAAATCCGCCAACAAGTCGCAATGATCGACAGACCCGTTGAGGCTGTGAAGACTGGCAACTTCACACCACTTCCGGTCCGACTGTCGCAACAACACATGGGCATGGATTAAAACGGCGGACACGCAATCCAGGCAGGCCCATCCGACCCCTCTGCGGTACGGGCGTAGATACGAGATGACGAAAAGCCCGGAAACGTGCAGCAGCAGCCTACCGCATTTGTACCACGGACAATGGCAACGATGGCGCCGCCACCCAAGCGAGAACTGAGCCATCCTATTCTGGAACGACGGCTATCATCTGGTCCGCATGCGACACCTTGTCGGCGATCCGTATGCGGGATGCAAAAGGATGGTGGATCTGCAGGCTCCGTCATCCGGCGACGCCGCAGGCAGACAGCCCGCAGATAGATACGAAGCACGATACATCGTTCAAGCAAGCCACGGCGCAAGGCCGCCAAAAAAAGCAGTCATGAAACTAGGCAAACACGTGTCAAACACAGCTTGCCCTTTTGTTTCGCAGCATTCACGCAAAGGCGCATGGTCCTTCATCCCGCAGAAAGCCGACGCCCGCGTCCCGAGTTCCACAACCCCAACTTTGCGCGGGCAGCAACAAGGCTATGGCCAGATTCTCGCCGCCGCCACCCCCCCTCGGCTTGGCCGGCTCCTCCGCATATTCACTCGTTACTATTGACAGGCATGCAACGTGGTCAGCGCGTTAGCAGTAAAATTTACCTAGGCACATATCTTATTCCCTCCTTTCCGTCGTGTCCGTAATGCATGACTCGCCGACGCCCTCGCCTCATTGTTTGCAAGGAGAAAGTAAGGCGGCGCTAGAAGGATGGTGGAAGGCGGATCACTCATTTCAAGATCGCTTGGGGGGGGAGTGGTGTCCCCAGGTTCCTCCCTTTCGACCCCCTGCGTGCAATCAAGTTGCCGTCTTGCCTAATCGAGACGCGTGGTTGAGACAGCGCGGGTTGCGGAAAGCCGGGGAAGCGTGGGCGTACATGCGGGGGTGGGCCCAGCGACTGCGGGCGGCACACACACACACACACACACCCTCGAGGAAGGCTTGCATAAGACGCATCTGGCGGTCTGCGGCGCTGCTGTGCTGTCACGATTGCTCCCGCCCATGACAGGCAAAGGAAAGAAACCTTCTCCCCCCGCTCGTATTGTTTCTATTTGAGCAGATGTGTCTCGGCAGAAGTTTGGCCCGCCGCTACTGCAGCACGGATACTACAAGTCATGCCATCAAGCCGCGCGCTGTCGTCTTCAGGCTCGGGAGGCCGCTGCCAGTGGATGCAGCGCCGTTGATAGGGCAGGTTCCGCATGACAGGCCGCGGCTGTTTTCGCCGAGACCGAGGCGACGGGCCATTATTGGTTGCTTTGTCGCTGCTGCGCGCTTGCTAATTCCCTGGCTAGCCCCAGATCTCGCGATCCATCTCCGGGGAAACAGTTTGCGCGTTTCCTTTTTTATGTATTTTTTTTTTTTTT